CCCCAAAACCCCAAAACCCCAAAACCCCAAAACCCCAATTCATAATAAAATTATTGAAAAAGTGATTTTCCAAACTTCTTCTCAATTTCTGAAATCGCCTTCATACTCATCTTGATTGCTTGTCTTTCCTTTAGCGTCACTTTCCTGCGAATCTTGCCTATAAAACGACTGATCCCTGCATCTTTCTTCTTGTGCTTGCTTGAAGCTTTTGTGGTCTGAAAATTTTTATTAGAAGAAAGTAGGGCTAGAGGCAGGCTTATGCAGAAGAAATTAGGGAGGTGGAATTTGAAGGGGAAGAAAGGGATGAGTGGGGTTTTTTTGGGGGATTTTTAGGGGGAAGAGAGGGAGGAGAGGGAGATGAGGGGTGAAAGGGGGTTTGGGGGTTGTAGGTTGTAAGGTGGGGAAATAGGGAGGATTGGAGGAGAGATGTACCTTGTAACAGCTTGGATTTGGAGGTTTGGCTCTTGAGAGTGTGGTAGAGAAGTGTTTTGAGTTATTTGGAAGAAAGTCTTTTTGGTATTTTGTTGTGGATTTTGAGTTGAGAGCTTTATGAGCTTTGCTGTTTGATCGAAAATTTGTGAGCTGAGGGTTGTATTGGAATGTTTTAGTCATTGCTCTGTTTAAAGTATAAATATCTGCATTTCTAGAAGGCTTCTTTGAGCTAGACCTGAGCTTTGCAGAGTTAGACTGGCCTAGTTTTCAAGAATTAAATGTTGATAAATGAATTGTTTGGCTATTCTGAGAGTAAGGCTATGAAAAATAAGAATTTAGATACTCTTTCTTCTGAGTTTAACATCACCACAGATCTGCATGCCTGGCTTAAGAGAGATCTAGATTATAATAAGATACTATCAATTCATGAAAACCTCAAGAAATTTGACATTTAAACAACTTATCCAATAATCCACTTGCTCCAAACCCTAATAAATCCCTAAAATCCCTAAAATACCTTACTTTCCAAGATCCATCTTCACATTGACATGTTCTTCAACTTTCTTGTTCGAAAACAACGTCTCATTCCTTCTCTCCTTTAACGTATAACCTCGTGAATATTCCCTCCTTCTCAGTCTCTCACCCTCTTGCTTCTCTTCCTTTATGGCCTATACTCTCTTTGTAATCGCTCCTTCGTTTCCCAAAATCCTCGTGGAGGCTTACCTTCCTCACTGTGTTTCTAGTCTTTGCTCTAGTTTTTGGTCTGTTAGGTTTTATCTTTGTAAGTATAGGCTCTCAGTGAAAGGTGGTGTCAGTGTTGGTTCTGCAGCGATAAGCTTCAGTTGAGTATTTAGTGGGAGTCTTGAATGATGTTAGAAGAGATAAGAAGTCTTGGAGGTGTGTTTTGGTTGTAGGGATTGGTGTAAGTAGGGTGATGAAAAGAGAAGTTATTGATTAAAAAAAGAGCGTAAATGTGCAGGTTTATAATTTACTAAATTGGTAGTCATCAAACGTACCATCCCCTATAACCCCCTACCATTATCTCCTTCCCTAAAACCCTCGTTCCATCCCTTCATCCAACCTTTTCTAAAAACCTCTCAAAATTTGTGATTTTTCTTAAGCTAATTTCCTCAAATAAACTTTAAAACCTTACTCTGACCCCAAAACCCTCAACAGAGTTTGTCGCTCAGGGCTGAGCTTTAGGCCGAGACACTAGGCTCAAGCGGGATTTTTGGAATTTTGGATTTATAGACCCAAATTTTGAGCTGAAGCTGCTGTAATTGCTCAGGTACTTTTCTTTAGGATCATGACATCAGTAGCTATAGTGATGAGAGGGCAAGTACTATCCTCTGATTTTTAGATTCTCCCTACGTTTGGGCTTATAATTTTGAAGTTTCTTTGTTTTATCAAGAATACTTTTGGTTGGAGTCAAGTTCCAATTAGCTAACTCCCTAAAGAAAATATAACTAAGTTTATACCTTTGCTTATTGTTGAACTTAATGTACTTAGTCTTCACTGAGAATATTGCTGACTCTCTTACAGCAACCGTGGATGCTATATAAGTTAGAATAATGCATAATGCTTGCAAAAAATGGGATATCTCACAAAAATTCTTTTAGATTTTAGTTATATTTTTACATCTAATCTGTGATTTGGGATCAAAATTAAAAATAATTCGTAATTTTAGCATAATTTTATACAAACATTATTTGAATTTGATATATGAAATTTTGAGAGGGAGACCAAACTTAAGCTACTATTTCGTATCTACCATAAGCTCAAATTATCTTATGCCATACGAGGAAATGATAAATTAGAATATCAGCTTCTGTTATTATCTCAGTTAGCTTTGTCGTAAACCAGAAAGATTGCCATTGGAAATGAAAAATTATATCTTTGAACTTAGTTAAAGACATAGAATTTAATAAATTTTAACGAAATCTGGTCCAAAATTTTTCTTCTAAGGTTAATATAATTAATATTTACACTGCGCCAGTTCAAATTATTGCCTAATTTTCAAGCATATTCACCATTCTCTTCAACTAATACCCTCTATGGAAGGTGGACTCACATGAAAAATCTCAGAATGAGGGACTCGTCCCTTTAAACTCAACTAAATTCTAATAATTTCAAACCTGAGTTGGGATTTCTTACTCTCCTCGGACATAATAAGTTATTCAATAAATTTAAATAAAATCGGGGTTTTGGGGTTTTGGGGTTTTGGGGTTTTGGGG